GGGAGGGTGTAGCCCTAGACCTTGGCTTCATCAGGAGCTGGCCAGAGCCAGTTTTTATGTGAGGCAGAGAAAGAGAAGTGTGAGTGGAGAGCTGATTGGTGCCTACCAGTGAAATGTTTCCAATCCATTCTTTTGGTTTTGGCATCTCTTTTTATGTAACAGACAAGAGTGTGAAACCCAGAGGTGCTGAGGAGAAAGAGCAGCTATGTTGTGTGTGTGACTCTCATGAAATCAGCACTTTCCAAATCCTGAACACTTGAGAGCTCCTGGGGATCTAATTTTGTTCTTTTTTTTTTTTTTGTAGCTCTAGTTCCTAGCATAATCCCCAACCACAGTGTCTTTGATTGAGTGATGTTTTTCCAAATCATAACTGTTGAGTTTCTTAGGAAGAAAACCCAACGTTCTCATTACAGCTATGATCTCAAGGTAGCCAAACCAACATTGTTCCAGAGGTCCTGGCTAGTTGGCTGTTTGCCTTCTTTTTTTCCTCACTGTTAAAAGTGTTCAGTGAATGGCCCTTTGTATATTTGACATTTCAGTTGGTCCTCACAGTGACAGAGGATGATAACACTGTTTTATCTATCATGACCTCAATTTCATTTGTGGGATATGGAGAACACAGGCAGGTCAAATGACTTGCCCAAGGTCACACAGCTTGTCCCTGAGGAAGCTTTTGTCTCTTGGTCTCTAGAACCTTTGCTCTTTCCCCATCACATGTCTGCACTTATACTTTGGTGAGGCTACTGTTCTTAGAGCACGTTGATTGCCTCAGGGCTGTTAACTCTCAGAGGCAATATGTGGCTTTTTAGGTGAAAGTGTTGTCACCCTTGTAGTAGAACAGCTTGAGAATGTTAAATTTGTATAAAATGTGGATTTGCCGTTTCCTGTGGGAAAAGTGCTGTGCCGACTTCTTGTGCCATTTGCAGCTCCAGCTTCTCCATGGATAGCAAGAGAGAGGTGGGTGGAGATTAGAAAGAATTTAATCCAGGAAGAGACCGAGCCATGCCTGTGTGTGGGCTACATGGTTGGTTGCTGAGAAGCTTACATATTTTTGATTTGAGAAACACAGAAATCTGAGGGGACTTCCTAAAGTTCAGAGCCCACCCATTTGTGAAAATTGGGCAAAGGAGCATACTTAGTGAACACGTGTCTTTTTGCCTGATCTTTGGAGTATGCACATGGTAATGGAAATGGCCCTCCTTATGTTGTTATTGTTATGTAGGGCATCCTTTTTTGATTATGATTAAAAGTGCATCAGCGACCCACTTCTTGTAAAAGAAACATTGCATAGAGTTCTCTTCTGTCCATTCAAGTACAAGAAGCTCCTCAGTATAACCAGTGACCATGACCTTAGTCAGAGTTCTCACTCTGATAAATTCTGGAGGATTTCTGGTGCCCACATAGGATATTGGATTATTTCCCCCAAGTTGGTACACACTATTGCTCTAGAAGACTTGTCACGAAAGACCAAAGAATCATCAAGCAGAAAAATAAGACTAGAAAAACCATACAAGGGTGTCTTGCTATCCACAAAGTTCTGTGCGAGCATGTTTTTCTAATGGCTAGTGGACCTTCTCCACATGGTGTCTAAGCTGCACATGGGATGACCCCATCTCATTTCTGGTTCCTTCTCCTTCGCTAAAGGGACTAACAGACAAAGTAAAAAATGCAGAAATGTTCAAGCTAAGTTATTGAATTTTTTTGTGAAAATGCACTCAGAAAAGTACTTATGTCTTCCTTTTACTTCTTATGAACATTTGGAAGAATTCAGAAATTATGGGAAGCAGTTGATTTCAGTTATTCAACTGCCTCCCTTTCTCAAAAATAAAGTCAAGGCTGCTTCATAATCATGACGACTTTGGCTAAATGCTGGTGTGCATCACTCCAGCCTGCCACCACTGCCTTGCTCAAGTTCTCTGCAATAGTCAGACAAGCCTTGGCACTTATTATGAACATATTAATTATGTTTTTGGTTTTAGCAGCTTCTCAGGGGGGTTTAATTGCTCCAAATTCATTGGTCTATTTTGTAAATACTTTCAGTAGTGTTCCTGGGCACACATGCTTCCCTTCCCCACAGTATAATCCTGGAACAGTACTTGGCACTGTGGATGGGGGCCGTTGTGTATGACAGATGTGGGAAAGACCCAAACCCCACATTTGTAACTTTTAGTCAGTTCTGACTGCACCTGACCTACAGGACTGAGTAGAACAGCCTGGAGGGTTTCCGAGGTGGAAATCATCACAGAAGTAGATTGCTGCCTCACTCTCTAGCAGATGAGCTAGTGGATTAGAACCTGGTGATTAATCACTGTACCACCTGGGCTTCTAATTCTTCAGTTATTTGTAAGAGTTATTTTTATTAAAAACCAAAGCAAGTTAATTTCAAGGTCAGATAAAATTTCTTGAGGTGAATGAGTCTCTAAGAAAGATTAATATTAACATCTTAATTTTACATGTTATATCACGCTGATTTCACCTTACCATTCTTTTTCTCAGCTATTTGAGTATGAGGGTCTGAAATGGTTTGTTAAATTTCCTTGTGTGAAGAGGGGACGCTGGAGCAAGAATAAGTGTCCCAGGCACAGGAAGAACTTGAAGCTCTGCTTTCCTTCCCACCTTTTAACTCTTTGAAGGGTGAAGTGGACAGCATTTCCTATTCCTTCCTAATATTCCAGATTTTCATACCTATTCTTTATTCAGCCTGTGAAAAGACAGCCATAATAACCTTAGCTGGCGAGATAATGGTGATGGGCAATCAGGGCCCATCAGTTTTAGCATCAACTGTCACTTTGGTGAACAATGGTGATGGGCCTAAGCCTCCTTAGCTACAGCTGGTATGCTGAAGAAAACATTTCCATTGTTCACAGGGAAATGAGGTGGATTATTTGTTTATTACAAAAGACAATAGTTTCTGTCTACAACTCCCAGAAGATAGTATTATTAAAGGTGTAGCCAGATGATTGATTGCTCTGCTGTCTACATTGAGTTTGTTTAGATCGAGTCTGTTATTAAAGTAGAAATTGTTCCTGTTTTCAGTTTCTTTAAAGGAGAAGAAAAAAAAAAAGGATAAAGTTATCAGGAGACCCAAGAGTGTTTATTACTTATATGAAAAGATAATAAATTGGATTTTTATTTTGTATTTGTAGATAGAATTGTTCTGTTAGAGGTTTTCTCTGATTTCTTCTAAGATTTTTCTTAATCTGTTCATCTCTGTGGATCTCAGTATTGTTTTATATTTGCATCTAAGTATAGTGTATCTGTATATAAATGAGACTTGCTTTATTATCTGAAAGCTTTATATTACTCCAAGAATCTTTTATAATGGGAATCTGGGCTCTGTGACATAGGGTGTGTGTGTGTGTGTGTGTGTGTGTGATGGGGATCTGGCCTTTGTGACATAGGGGGGGGTGTGTGTGAGAGAGAGACAGAGTGATAGAGATGGTTCTGCGTTCTGTAACATGGGTGTGTGTGTGCATGTGCGTGTGTGTGATGAGAATCTGGGCTTTGTGCCATAGGATGTGTGGATGTGTGTGTGTGTGTGTGTGTGTGTGTGTGTGTGAGAGAGAGAGAGAGAGAGAGAGATGGGGGTCTAGGTTCTGTGACATGGGGTGTGTGTGTGTTGTATTGGCCCAGAGCCAGGTTGTACTGGAAGGTTATGGCAGAACTATAAAGAATGTTCTTAGTGTGACAAGAAGAGACATTCTGGTTTACACATACGGAAAAGCCTGGGAGTGGGGAATAGGCTCTGAAAGGATCAGGGAAAGAGAGAAGCAGGGAAACCCTTTCTGCAGCTGCTAAAGGTGCTAAATGACCCTCTGACACAGCGGCTCTGGTGTAGAGATGAGGCATTGATGCTGGTGGTCAGTATGTGAGGTGGAGAAGAAAGGATGCTCCTGTATTTGTGTCATCTTTGTGTTGATAGCCGTGTGGTTGACACCAAAGGAGGTGGGAATAAAGGGTAGGTGGATGGAAAAGACAACATGTATCTCATGCTTGAGAAGGTTTCTTTTTTAGAATGGTGAGTTGCATGCTGAAATTTACCTTGTGGAATAGAATTTTCAGAACATTTAAGGTATGTTGTAATTCCAGTGTTAGAGCACTTCTGGCCTATGGCCATTAAGTTGATTCCAATTCTTAGAGACCCTTTGTCAGTTTCTGAGACTGTAAATCTTTCTGAGATTGCCCATCTTTCTTCCGAGAAAAAGTTGGTGGATTTGAACCACTGACCTTTGGACTACCAATATAACCTGAATGTATACAGTACCAAAGCTCCTTTCTTAATAGTTTTTTGTGTTTTTTTTTTCTATCATGCCTCTAAAATGTATATTCTTTGAAGACAGAGTCATTATGACTCATGGTAATCCCCACTATCTATCCATTTGTGATCCAGGTTAGGTAACTGTCTGGCTTGAATTGAGAGCTTTATTTATTTGCCAGTTTGACTTAATTTATGATTATGATAATGTAGGGAAATATTGAGAAACTATGAGTACTCCAGAATTTGTCATTTTGGGATCTGTAAGATGTGGACAGATGTTTTCATGACAGCATCTCTGCCTGCCAAATGTGTGGCCCTAGGCTGGCGGGTCCAGATGAGGAGTTGGGTGGGGGCAAGGAGTACCTCTCTTTTTGCTGGTCTTTATAAACCCACCCCATCTGGCCTGTGTAGGATGAACTGGATGAACTCCGTGCCGAAATGGAAGAAATGAGGGACAGCTACTTAGAAGAAGATGTTTACCAGCTGCAGGAACTTCGTCGAGAACTAGACCGTTCGAATAAAAATTGCCGAATTCTGCAGTACCGGCTCCGGAAGGCTGAGCAGAAAAGCCTGAAGGTGGCTCAGACGGGGGAGGTGGATGGAGAGCTGATCCGGAATCTGGAGCAGGACCTGAAGGTGCGTGAGCGACCTCTCTGGAGGGTGGCCAGTCGCTGGCCTGCAGGCCCACTCTTTACCAATACTATGAGAGCTTAAGTTTGTTTCAGCAGAATTCAACATAAACTGTTTCATTTCTGGCTTAAAGAGTGACCTGGAGTTGTATGACACAGCCTGTTAATACTCATATGTCTGTGATAATGTGAACTGGTATATTCAAGGAGAATCTTAATAATAGACCTCTTGTAATAAAGAGTGCTTTGACAGTTGGAAAAGGGCAATATGGAAATGCCTTCTAGAGATTTCCAAAATAAAAAAAATGTAATGGTTATCATTCAGTTACAGTTTAAAGGTCATTCTTTGACATTGACCATAAACGTATTTACGTTACTTAAGTTTCTAGGAAGCAGAAAATTGGAAATTCCAACAACCCCAGTGGAACTTGCATTGAGGTTGTTTAACTAAAAGCAAAGTAATGACTTTAAGATCCATTGACTAAAAAGGGAAGGAGGTGAAGAAGTTTCTGACTCAAGCCATTTCTTTCTCCACAGGCAGCATGGCGCTCTCACAATCCAATTATCAAATCATTTATCTTGAGATAAATTATTTACAATGTCCTCCTTATTGTAGGAGGACTTGTGAAATCTCATTTAGCCTTTCATTATGATAACAAGAAAAGAATATTTGTAATTCTATAAAAGTTATAAGCCACTAAAAATGTGTCATTCAGTGTAATTTAAGGGTGATTTATGTTCCTCTTCCAAAGTCTCTCTTCTCCTTTGCTGCTAGAGAGTAAAATATTCAGCTGCATTTAATATTAAATATTAAAGCATTTGACTATACTAGATCCACAGTGAAAAATGTCAAACTTGGAACATCTACTGGTACAGAGTCATTTTGGTTTGTTTGGGTTTTTTTTTTCTGAGCATGATGTCCTTTTCTTCTTTTTTTTTAATTGGGAAAAACATATTGGGGGTACAAGGAGGTGAGGGTTGGGGGCAGAAGGGT